TGGAAGATGCCTGTTTTCCCTCTGCACACCTCAAAAAATGATTAACAAGTATTACGACCCCATGGAGTTTCCCCTCCTGGGTACTGAAAGAAAAACAAAACAACAGCAAAAAGCAAACCATTCCTCTATCAACAGAGAGAAGACTACATCCATGTAACTACAGCAAAAATAAGCATTTGAGGCCTGGGGAAGAGGAATTGCAAGGCTTATAGAAATAAAGAAAGGCTTGAGGTAACTGCTTTGCTCAGACTGATTAGACTAGCCAATGGCTCACATAATTTGTATCAATTATTTGGTTTGAGATTGCTTTCGTGCTCCCTATAATCCTGTATCACCTGAGAAGGCATCATGTTCCCCTGACTCATGGAGAGTTGTGTTTTATGTTGTAATTTGCTAGAACAGTGATTATGTGCAAGTGAGAGAATTTCACAAGCGAAATGTCTTGTCAGTGAAAATAGCAGCTTTACTCCTACATCCACTTAGCAGCAGGAGGCAGAAAGTGTCCTGGGGTTTCTGAATTATTGCTGAAATGAACTCCAGATGCCTCCAGAAAGACTGCTAAATATATACCTAATTGCCAGTTTCTTTTGTTTTAGCTTCGCTGCTAAACAACCTTTAAACAACAGCATTTGATACATTCTGAATTCTTTATTAGCACCTTTATGCAAAATTAAATGGCACTTATGCAAAGCCAGGGCACAACGGCATGCCGGTGCTTCATAAATGACGTCTCTGGAAGCCTGTCTTGGGTATTCGCCTTCCTGTGTGGGGGAAGTTTTCTTATAAATTACAGTCTTCCTTTTACATTATGTGCACACCGATTTTATACCTCTCAGTTCTTATGCTAGAGAAATTTGCATATTTATGTAATATTAATCAGGCACCAAATTTTGCTATTTTGAATATTCAGCAAAGGAGAGCAAAACCATGCTTCCTGGCTGGCTGCCACTCTAATGACTCATCTTTGCTGACATGCAAGCTAATGGGGGTAAAGATTTAGAATTGCTGCTTAATAGAGAAAAAGGATTTGGGAGAGACAAGCTCGTATGTCCTATGCTTCATCCCTGCTCACCCCAACTCCCACACGCAATGCCCACAGTACAGCCCACAGAACTGTGAATTGTGTGTGTAAGGGTAACCATTAGGAGTACATACATCAAGTCTTTGGTCTGGAAATAAGATGGTCTTAAAAATCAAAGATCATACGTGCCACACTGAACCATTTGCACATTCAAATAAATAAATGTGTTCTTTCATTGCTTAAGAGAGAGGAGAGGCAGAGGGATCACCAGTGTAACCACTCCATCTGTGACACAGGAGCACACAGCATGCTGTCGGGTTGCTGCGTTCCTGTAATACACAGTCCCTCTGCCTTCACTGCCTTCAAGAGTCTATGCTGATCTTTCCCATCCCAGCAGCAAACCTCACCCACAACTGCAACCTGCTGCCCTCATTAGCCCAATATTCAGTACCAACGGAGATGACATCAACAACAGAAGCTACTGTACAGCCCTCTTCCCCAGATCTACTCGCTTTGATTTTTACCCTGCTTTCAGCATTACTGGGCCAGTGCTACTCTATAGAGCAGGATTCAGACAAGGTTCAATCAAAAGTGGCATGGAAGTGCTGCTGTCACCTAACATACGGGAATGGATGGGCACATCCAGAACACCAGCACAAAATGCCACAGCTGTAAAGCAGGGATCAAGTTTTGACACTTGCTAGATAACTTACCACTGTGCTGGTGATCTCTTCCTGGACTCTGCCAGTCAGACAGCATGAGGTGCGTATCAGGGACACTTACACAGACCTCAGCTCTGTGATGCCTGATTCCCACTAGCCATGCCAATCTTTAATTTATAATTTGCCTAGTCCTAGCAAGGGCTTCCTGCACAGCGTGACACTTGGCTGCAACACTTCACAGAAATCACTCGAGACAGAGTGAACCTCCAGTTTCTGAGCTTCAGTTCCAGTTATAAACACATAGTGTTATTTTAAACACTTCAAGTTGAAAGTGTGGACTTTCCAAAACTTGAACACCATAGTAAGAATATAAAGGATGGGAAAATCTTGACCTTGCTGATTTTCAGGTGTCTCAAGAGAAAAAGCATATTGTGCAGCTGATTCAAGTTAAATGTATGAAGACTAATGACCTCCTTCAAAATCGTGCACTCTGGACAAGATTCATCTGCTCTTTGTTGACTATTCAGCAAGGCAAGCACATAGCAGTATTATTCGAAATGGCTTGTGTTTGAGTAACAAAAAATTTCAAGTCAGCAGTTCCTCCTTTGCCATTTCGAATAATACAGAGTGAGGCTTAAATGCTGGAGTCACAGCTGAACACATAAGACAGCTCACAGAATCACAAAATAGCTGAGGTTGAAAGGGACCTCTGGACATCATCCTATCCAACGACCCTGCTCAACCTGGGTCACCTGTAGCAGGGTACCGAGGACCATGTCCAGATAGCTTTTGAGTATCTCCAAGGATGGGGACTCCACAGCCTCTCTGGCCAACCTGTGCCAGTGCTTGGTTACCTTCATGGTGAAAAAGTGTTTCCTGTTGTTCAGGTGGAACCTCGTGTGTTTCAGTTCATGATCATTGACTCTGTCCTGAGCTTTCTCTTCTCTCTGCTAACAGTCCCACCTGTCTCAGCCTTTCCTCATATGAGAGCTACTTCAGTCCCTTAATCAGTCTTAGCAATCCTTTGCAGGACTCTCTTTACTAGCTTTGTATCTCTCTGCTACTGGGGAGCTCAGAACTGGATATGGTACTCCAGGTGTGGCCTCACCAGTGCTGAGTAGAGGGGAAAGATTACCTTCTTCCTCAACCTGCTGGCAACACCTCTCCTAATGCAGCCCCAGGATATCATTAACCTTCTTCACTGCAAGGCCATATTGCTGGCTTACATTCAACTTGGTGTCCACCAGGACCCCCAGGTCCTTTTATGCAAAGCTGCTTTCCAGCTGGTCAGCCCCCAGCATATACTGGTGCAGGAGCTTGCACTTCCTTTTGCTGAACTTCATGAGGTTCCTTCCCTCTGGATGGCAGCACAACTCTCTGGTGTATTAGCCACTTCTCCCACGTTGGAATATGAGCAAACTTGCTGAGGGTGCACTCTTGCCTCATCATCCACATCATTAATGAAGATATTGAATGGGACAGGACTCAGTATTAACCCCTAGGGTACACCACTAGTTACTGGCCCCCAACTAGACTTCATACCACTGATCACCACCCTCTGCGTCTGGCTGCTCAGCCAGTTTTCAATCCACCTCACTGTTTGCTCATCTAGCCCATATGTTAGCTTCTCACTCAAGATCTCCTGTGAGGCAGTGTTGAAAGCCTTACTGAAGTCAAGGCAGACTATATCCACTGCTCTCTCCTCATCTACCAAGCCAGCCATTTCAACATAGAAGGTTATCAGGTTGGTCAAGTATGACTTCCCCTTTGTGAAACCATCCAATCATCATCTGACTGAGCCTTCCCCTCACGTACTGCAGTCTCCAGTGGCAGAACTGCACTGTTGAAACTGGGTCCTCTTTCCATTTCTCAGTATAAACCAGAATGCAACAGGCAGATGAAATCCTACAAGCAGGAGTGCCACCGTTTTTCCTATCTGAGATCATGCAAGTAGAAAATCCAGCTTACTTCATTTACAGAAATTCAGTGAATGGCCCAGTTAGCTTAAAGGAAGGACTGAGGAAAGGGAAGCAAAGCTGTTGAAATCAATAATTGCTCCTTGGAAAAAATAACAAGCATTTTCAAACACAGAGTTTGTGTGTGTATTCATTTTCTCCTTTCGTCATGGTCCTTCATCAGCTCACAGCGCAGTAGGGACCAGGCATTATCACATTATCTTTGGAGTCATTAAATGCTAAATGAGACTTCTACATTGTACTGTTAAGCAGAGCTGATAACACAGCTCCCCAAGGGCATCTTGGTCTTACCCTGTTTGCATTAACAAAACGCCAAAGAGATATCATTATAGAGGATTTGAAAGGAAACTGTGGCAGAGGTGTTCATATTGGCATCTGTAAACCCTCTGCATGCTTAAATACGGAACTTGGTGGCAATCTCTCTAAATATAACTTTGCAAAGGGTAACATTTCTGGCATTCTTGGTGCTTCCGAAAACCAAAATTGTCACTGTTATCTTCTGACGCAATGACAGACAACTCTTGGTCTCATAGGGACACATATATTTGGGTTAGTTCTGTTCATACAAGAGAAAGGAAGGATCCAGAACACAAAAGAGCAAGGCCAATGCCTTCTCCCAGCCCATCTCATATAAAGGGCACAGGTTACCAGAGAAACCTGAATGGGTTTCTACACTGAAGTACATTGGTGTATTTCCTAACTAGCCTGCTGCCTTCGGGGCGTTGAAGACCCAAACATCTATGTCCTGTTTGTGCACATGCATGTGTGTGTACCTAGAAAAGAGAATATGTGCACATGCAGGCAGCTGCCTTTGTCTGGGAAGAGGTGAGATTACCGTTAACACCCATATAACTAAAAGGAGTAGCCTGAAGTATTGCAGTCTGCATGGCAATAACATCCTTATACTAATTTCAGCAGGCCAGACTTTTCTTATCACTCTGTTTTTCTTTAAGCAGAACACGTTCATAAAGCGTGCACTGAAAGCTAATGAGAAGATCCTAACTTCAAGCTTAGCCTCTGGTCAGTGTCCTCGGTGACTAGTATTTTATTTTTCTCTAACTTCTTGCCAACATACGCAACCAACTGTTAACCTGAAGCTATGTGGTCTCCAGCCCACGTCTATCTTAAAACCAGCAGAAGCCTCATATGTTTCTTGTCTACCACACAGTAAACACAATGGCACTCCAGCAAATAGGCTGTTTCAGCACCTGGTTATGTCTGAAACTCTCCTTTGTGCTTTGGGAAACAGAGTAATGTCAATAAATCATGTTCAATTACAACATAGTTATTTCCAAGCTTGTTTGATGCTTAGCATTTGAGGAAAATGATATGCTTACTTACCATAAGGGATATATGCCAAGCCTACTGACAATGAAGACAATGGCAAATGTAAGGAACAGAAGGTCACTCAGTTTTTGACACTTGCAATAGTTTGCCATTTTGGCAGCCTGTAAAAGAAAGAAACGTCTGTTTACTTCTGTGAAGACAACTGAGTTCTTTTGTACTGTGTATAAGCTGTAAGAAGAAATCAAATTTTTATGAAATTACTAACATTTTCATTGGACCACCTCACAGTGACCTCGTAACTCCTCTCCACCATGCAGGTGGCAAATGTCTTCTCAGAAAAAAACCCAGACTGTGTAAAAACAGAGTACATCTCCAATTTCTTCCTTCTCCATTCAATTTCCTTTTTGAAATCCTACAATTTCAGATTCACAAAACCCTTCTAAACTTTTTATTGAACCCTATTGTGTTTATGCTGTCCTTGTCCCCAACCTCTTTACCTACCTGTCTCTCACCTTTCCAGTATGCTCCACTTGCATTTTCACCATCCATCCATCTTCCACCTGCCCCATACCCTCTGACCTTATTATGTTGCTATATATAAACTTTGTCTCAAACCATCTATTGTGCCCCATATCCTATATTCTCCCACAGCATCTCTTCTTCCTCTCTGGCCTATACTGAACAGTTTCTGGCTCTGAGATTATACCCCTCCCCTTCAAATCTTTTCCCAAGGCTCTCTTCCCCTCTCTTTCCAACTGTTCCTTCCCAACTTGTTGCCCTATGCCTGTTTTTACATGCTTCTCTCATTTGTCTGCATGCAGTCTTCCGACTCCTCCTCAGTGAAGGAGTCTCCCAACTACTCTTCACTCAAACCACTCATGAAAACACTGATGATCTCTGAAGTTTCTTTGCCATCTTCTCCCTGAAGAAAACAGCACACAGCTGTTTTAAGCTTAAAACAGCAAGCTTGTTTTAAGATGTCTATGCTGCATCCACAGTGTTCACGTGTCTAAGTGGTTACTTATTTTAAAACATCTGCTTCAAGGCAGGGACAGTCTTTCTTTATGGTTTCTGTCAAATGTATGCAGAGAGTGACTGCACAATGAAGCACATGACAAGCCTGATTTAGTGTCTGCTTAAGTCACTGGGAACCTTTTCAAAGCCCCCTCTAAGGGGGCCTGTATCCAGCTCCCTAGCTGAGAAGATGCTTACTTATTGTGTTGGTTTTGGCTGGGACAGAGTTAATTTTCTTCATAGTACCTAGTATGGGGCTATGTTTTTGATTTGTGCTGAAAACAGTGTTGATAATACAGGGATGTTTTTGTCATTGCTGAGCAGTGCTTACACAGAGTCAAGGCCTTTTCTGCTTCTCAACCCACCCCACCAGTGAGCAAGCTGGGGGTGCACAAGGAGCTGGGAGAGGACACAGCTGGGACAGCTGACCCCAACTGACCAGAGGGATATCTCATACCGTATGACGTCATGCTCAGCATGTAAAGCTGAGGGAAGAAGAAGGAAGAGGGGGGTGTTCGGAGTGATGGCATTTGCCTTCCCAAGCAACTGTTATGCATGACGAAGCTCAGCTTTCCTGGAGATCGTTGAACACCTGCCTTGAATTCCTTGTTTTGTTTTGCCTATTAAACTGTCGTTATCTCAAACCATGAGTTTTCTCACTCTTACTCTTCTGATTCTCTCCCCCATCCCACTGGGGAGGAGTGAGCGAGAGGCTGTGTGGTGCTTAGTTGCTGGCTGGGGTTAAAGCATGACACTTACGCAGACTTTCCAGAGGGCTAAGAGGGAGTAAAATTACCGCAACTATGCATATAGAATACTATTCTGAAGGCAAAATTCAAACCAGAGAATTGTCTAAAATGGTGAGAGACACTCTTGCATTCTGTCTGATTTTTTTGGTACAAACACACTGAACCTGAAAATGATCAATCATGTCAGACAATCTGGATGCCACAACCAACCTGCACTTTTGGATGTTACATAACTTCTGCAACGTTTCCACTCAAAATCTCAATATAAGGGATATCCTGAATAACAAGAAACAAGTTAGGAAGCTCACAAAATATGAGGAAAGCCACCCGTGCTGCAAAGAAAACATAACCCTTCTGAATCAGCCCCATGTTCTATAGTAGACACAAATGAGTTTCCTAGCAGTTTGTACTCACAGTCTGGTTTAAGGAAAAGAGAACACTTTGGTGCCAACATGCAAAGCAGAAGAGTTACCAATACCTTGATTTTCAGATGACTGAAAGTTCAGATAGGAATTTTGTATCTATTTCCATGGTGGCACTCTAAAAAAGCTGGTTTCATAGGATGTGGAACTGATACTGCTATAGCAACTTGCAGTAGTGGCATGCCTTTTCTCAAAAACAGTACAGCTGTTGGATCATCAGTTCTCAAATAA